TCTACAACCCCCCCCCCCCCCCCCCCCGCCTCTTTTTGCTTTGCCATAAATGAAAAGAATTTGTGATTTGATGGGGGAACCCATCATCCTCCTCCTTCCCCCCTCTCCTTCGCCTCCTCAACTCATTTATTATTCCACTACTATATATATATATATATATATATATATATATATTATTCAACTTCTTTCTCACACTTCTCAAGAAACAAGTTAGTACAACCACTGCACATTTTCGTTGAGCTTTTCTTTTTGTGTTCTTGAAACTTTCGAGCTTCTGGGCTGTTTTGTTTTTGTCTTCTCATGCTCTAACAATAACAGTAATATAATGAGAACTCATCAAGAGAAGCCTGTGAATGAGGTTGAACAAGGTGTTGGTGTATGTCCAAGCCAAGAAGCAGTTGACAAGGTTAAAGTTTTTGTTTTTCTCTTTGATCTCTTCTCTCTTAAGTTTTTCTTTGTTTGCTATATTTTGGATCAAGTTTTTCATTGTAATCTTTCTTTAGGAAGAAATAAAAATTAAAAATCAGTCATCATCATCCATGTGTAAACAACAAACTGGTCTTTGATTTTGATTCTCTATATTGATAATACTGTTCTTGTCAATTCTTTTTAGTGTTTGATTTTACTTCTTTTTATTTGCTGTGCCTTTTCTTTTATTGCCATGTAATTTGGTTTAGATCATGCCATTAAAATAAGTATGTGAGAGGTTGTGTTTTCTCCTAGGACAAATAGATTTATAACTAGTAGTATTAGCAGATCAAACGCCTATGTACACCTATATTTGCGGAAACATGAAGGGGGCCTGCTCCAAATTTCAACGAGCCATCCACCTGGGGCTAGCTATGGTGGTATAGGAGGTGGATGGGGATTCGGGTAGAGCTGCTATGTTGGTTTGGAGCTATAGTTCTCTGGATTGTACTGAAAAAAGAAAATCTAAACGATGAACCATTTGTTGTGGAAGCTATTTAGGCCATTTGTTCTTATTAGTTTAACTTGCTTTTGGTATGCATCTTTTTTCGTGTTCTTTTGTGCGTGTGCGTGTGCGTGTCCATGCACCTGCGCTTGTTCATGTGTGTTAAATAACAGACTTTTGTAAACACTTGGATGACCCTGGGCTGACTAGCTACTCTGTTTAGAAGAAGAAAAATGAACTGTCAGTTTTTGTATGATCATTCTTCATATTCTCCACCTCACTGCTCTATTATCTTGCTCTCTCTTTTTTTCCCAGGTTGAACACTCAATAGAAATAGTTGAAGAAACTGATACTTTTCAACATTGGAAGCGGAGAAATCTCTTTCTAGAGATACCCTCAAGAGCATTGGAAGAATCCTCGCGGGATTCTGTTGTAATCAGGATGCCCCCGACACCTAGTCCATCTCCTAGGAAAGTAAATTTTCTCCTGACACCTAGCTCTGTGGATGCAAGAGCCAGTGGTTCCCCAGCCGCCTCTTCATCAAAAGGCAAATCTTCCTTAAAAAGTTTGTTACCTAAACTAAGCTTCAAGTCTCGAACTTCTACTTTAGATATTGAAAAAGCTGCCACCGTAGCTCCAGATGCTTCATCTATACCACGGAAGAAACCTTCAATCTCAAGGTCATTGTCACTTACAAGGATCTTCACCCCTAGGATGAAGCAAACATCATCACTTCCCGTGACGCCAATTGCAAATTCTAAGGCAGAGTCTGCACGCGGGGGAAGCGGTGGTGGCATGCTAAATTCAAGTGTAAGTTTTTGTTTATTGAATGGATAAAGTGACCTAGTTGGTTGCCTTAATGGCCCTCAAAATTTTAAATGATGCATGTTGGTTAACTTTAGGAATATAGCTTGCTTATCTGATATAGTTGTTTTCTTTTTCCTCTGATCCTAAGGAGCAAGGGAGTTGGTTTACTTAAGTTGTTCTTAACAGATATCATATACTAATGGATCAATTAATTTAGTTCCCTACACCAACCACCACTAATTATTTCAGCATCTTCTGGGTTATTGAATTCTTTGCCAACTTTAAATTCATTATTTTCTGTCCTCATTTGACAGATGTCTTTGCAGAGGAAAGGAACCCAGCGGCAGATATCTCGCTCACTCTCAGTTCCTGTTAATAATAAAGAAAGAAGCATAAAGAGGATGGACTCTTTTTTCCGCATGATTCCTTCAACTCCTCAAGTGAAGGAAGGAGATACAATAACAAATGCATCTCCAAGTGTTGATGCTGGTATGTTGCCATTATTTATTTTTTATGATGGGCTTGGGCTTGTGCTTTTGGGCATTGCATATTTGTGTATCTGAAACTTCTTAGATTTATGTTTTGTCACTTTTGAATCCATTGAGAGTTGCTACTTGCTGCATACCTGTATGTGCACTAGCACAATCATTCTATGTGGTTCATAATTTTTTAAGTGTTGTAACAATTGGAGGCTATTAGACTTCATTGTTATGATCTGTTTTCCTCATTCCTTGCAATCAATAAACATCATAGCCATTATCATTCCCCACGAGCTAAGTGATTTGAAAACTTGGATCTTGAGAAGATGGGAGTACAAGCAAAACTTCAATTACACACTGGCATTTCTACAGTTAATTTTTCTATATATATATATTTTGAATGTCTTTTTTAACGCAAAAATAGGATATATACTTTTGTACTCCATATTGTCCAGTACCTGTTGTCGTTATCAACAAATTTATTATTCTAGTCCAATGATACAGAAAGCAATGGCGTTGATGGTGAGGACATACCCGAAGAAGAGGCTGTTTGTAGAATTTGTTTGATTGAATTGTGTGAAGGTGGAGAGACCCTTAAGATGGAGTGCAGCTGCAAAGGTGAACTTGCTCTGGCCCATCAAGAATGTGCTGTAAAATGGTTTAGCATCAAAGGTAACAAGATCTGTGATGTTTGCAAGCAAGAGGTTCAGAACCTGCCTGTGACTTTGTTACGAATGCAAGGTGTCTGTTCTAGAACTATTGGAGCAAGTAGAGCTAATCAGGAAGATGTTAATGGATACAGGCAAGTAAATTTCTGGTATGTCTTCCTAACTTAGAAAATGAAGTTATGGTTCTTGTAATGGCTGAGAAATGGCAGGAGCGGAGAATTCAGATTACTGCAGGCACTCCTAATCAAACTGCGTTTAGTGCTTTATCATGGCTATTTATTAATTTTATTGTAAACCCAAAACTGTAGTTTTGAATTAATTTTCACATCGAATCTAGATTGATATACCTGAGACTGACCAGTTTATATGCAATCAGGGTTTGGGAAGAAGTGCCTGTGCTTGTCATTGTTAGCATGCTTATCTATTTTTGTTTTCTTGAGCAGCTCCTGGTAAGAAAAGCCTCTTGACATCCCAATTTTGTCAAATTTTTCCTTTTCCTTCCTTCTCAATGCATTTTGTTTTAAAGGTTGGAAAGATGGGCATGGGAGCGATTGCTGTATCCCTTCCTTTTTCTTGTGCGCTGGGCCTTCTCTCATCCATCATCTCATCAACTATGGGTAAGCTGGTTGTACTAAGAAAAATGAGGTTTGAATCCCTAAGTACTGGAAAGATCTTACATGCAGAAATCAATTGCTGTGAATTGGAATACAAGTACAGCCACAGGTGGTGTAATATTACCACTTTGATTTGCTAGGTTAACCTGCTTGGTCTCATGTACACATGCACACACATATCAAGGAAGTTATTTGCCTTGTAGATTCAAATATTATGGCAGCAACTTCTCACTACAAAACTTTTGGTTGGAAATCTAATTTTCATGGAAATCTTTCCTTACAGATTTCTCACTTATTTATATAATTTCTGCTTCTCACCTTTTAGCTTTTTCTGTGCAGTAAAGAGAAGATTTGTTTGGGTTTTTGCATCAATTCAATTTGCCCTGGTCGTTCTCTTTGCACATATTTTCTACAGTTTGGTGAGTAATGTCTCATCTACTATCATTTCCAAAACACGCATCCCCCTTTCAAAGCATTACAAGAACAACAACAACCACTTGTTCCACCGCTACAGTCTACAGCAATCATTTAATGTCCCGGAAAAAGATTAAATAAGGAGCTAAATTATTATATAGCTCTTTGGGATTGAAGGTTTTGTTGACTAGAGGTTTTGGTAACAGATTATAGGATTTGATGTGCACTAACTTCTAGCTGTTTTCTGATGTCAACTCTCATAGCTGGTCTGAAATAAGTTAAAGAAAATTGTGTTGAAAATCTGATTTTGTGATTGCATTAAATCTCATCCCTAGATCAAAGGAAAGTCTACAATAGCTGAAATTTAGATTTTGTCCTGGCTTGAGTTCTGACCTTGTTTGAACCTTAAGTGATCTTACACTGGATATTCTCTATTTATTGGTCCTCTGATTAGATGCTTTCCACTCTTGTTGCTTTATGCCATGCAGGTCAATGTGCAAGCAGTTCTAGCCATTCTCCTCGCAACACTTTCTGGATTTGGCGTAGCAATGACTGGGAGTTCCATACTCGTTGAGTTTTTGAGATGGAGGAGGTGGCACGCCCAACATGGGCAGCTGCATAGTTCCCAAGTAATTACTGGACAAGGCCCATTTCAAAGAGCTGTAAATTCATCAACTAGAGGCCATCATAACTTCCAGCCGAATGAAGTGGAAAATCCAGAAACTTTACGGGGGAGTTAAATTTTTATCTCATTAGGAATAATTAAAATGCATAGTGCTTTAGATGGTGTCTAAATGAAGCTAAGTGGCTTTGTAAATTGTGATATATCCTGAGGTAGGATCATTGAAGTAGGATCATGGTATGTTCTATTAGTCAGAGATTCAATCTAAAAAATTTAAGTTGTTAAATAAAATTTAAAGATATAATTTATATTAATTTTTAGTATATTTTTTATTTGCTTTGAAATTTATATTATTTTGTGTTATTAAATAATGTTAATTAAAAGAAAATAAAATAGTAAGATTTAATTTCATAACTATGATTATCAAGATTTTTATTATTATATTAAAAAATTATTTATTTAATAAAATTTTAAAATATAATTTATATTATTTTTTAATACGGTAAAAAGCTTCCAGAAGTAGAGATAGTAAACATTGGATTGGGTCCTGCTTGGAATGAATTTAACTTGGGTTTCTTTTCTGTTAGTTTCTTAACTGTGGTGGTGTGCTCACAATCACTTCTGTCAGACATCCTATTACTAAAATAGGAGGGGATGTCTTAACTTTTTAACAATGCATTCGCTCCTTTGTATATGGCTGTCCAGTTGCCTAAATCACGAAGATGTTTATGGCGCTTGTTATCCACTAATTAGCAGCGCAGATTGGTGTTTAGTGAGTCTTGCATGCATGCGTTGAGGATTGTCCTGAGCCAGGGTCGTGGAAGAAATCCCTGAACCACCTGCAGGAGGGGGGTAAGTCCCGGGGTCTTGATCATGAGAACCGAGTACTGGTTTGTTGCAGGCCTGCAAAGACGGTTTAGAAGAAATAATTGAGGAAGAATGGGCAGTTACTCTTGGATTTAATTTATTATTATATAACTGAGACCAAATTGTTCATATGGAATTTGATTTCAAGAACCTCGTGCTGGTACTTGGCCTGGTGCTTAAGAAGATTTACTTCATCTCTCAACTTTCTGGGTTTAAATCCAAATCCCGAGGCTAATATGTTGTAATATGATGGAGAATACATCTTTAAGAATATGTTCTTGGGTACAAGTTGTCTCGAAAACACCATTAATGTTGAGAGAACGTAGATGATTTTTGTTATTATTATCACCCAACACAAATTAAGCTCCTTAATTTCATAGACTGCTGCTTTGCTCTCAGTATTGGCGTGATTCAGGTGACATCCTTCCGCCGCTGGACGAAGGAGGGCGGGGGGCGGGGGGTGGTGCGATTGCACTTTTCACGTGAAACATGAATTTAGCGATGATGTCATCAAACATCTAAAACGGGAGTCTCGTGGGAGCTTTTACTCCATCTCATGTCCGTACATAAAAATAGATGTGAAATGGAGTTTAGTTTTTTTTCAGGTATCTGAATTTTTTGAAATCATGAATAAATTTATTATAATTTTTAAAACATTTTATAGATGTTTTAAGTAAAAACAAGTTTTTAAATTAAAAGAACATAAATCTTGATTTTCTAGTTATTGCTGTGACTGAAATTTAAACAAAATAAATAATGCATTGTTTATTTGAAAAAATAAAAGAGCAAATAACATGATATCCACCTCCAAGCGCATATTAAAACAAAAGAGGGGTGCCCTTGTGAAATAGGTCAGCGAGCTAGCTTCGCTTGCTATGCCTAGCAATATTTGTTATTTTTTTCTAGTTATTTGTTGTTTTTTTTTTCTTTATTTTTTTTACTTTAATTGATGCTTAAAAAAAAAAACTTAATTATACTTATATTTATATTTATTTTTTTATTTTATTTAGAGAATCTCTTTTAAATAATAATAATTTTTTGGTAATGCATTTAGTTTTTGAAAACGTTTTTCTGACTTATCTATGATTTTTTTTATCTTTTGTATAAATAAATTATATTTTTAAAAATAACAAATATTAATATTTTTAAAATGTGTAGTTTTACATGTTATTTTTTTATTTTATTTAATTAATATAATATATTTTTATCATCATTTAATTAATTAACTAATATAATCAGGTAAATATTCTATTTTTTAAGATTAAATATCATAATTTATACCTATTTCTTAATTCTTCAAGATTTTTTTATATATCATTACTGATTATTTATATATATCAACTAATTTTTTTAAATTATAAAAAAATTAAAAAAGTTTACATATATAATTTTTATAAAAAATAAAAATAAGTCACCCAAGACAAAACCCATTTCATGTTGCTGGTCACAGATCTAAAATGTGAGTCTCTTGGAAGCTTTTACTCCATCTTCTATCCATGCACGGATAGATCTCTTTTGTTGACGCGGTAACCAGCCAAAGAATATGATGGTCAACAAGTATGCGTTGACTTTCATGTTCGTAGAGCTGTCACCATAAAATACTTTCCATATTAATTCTGTAGCATTGGGAACCATGACATTGTAAGATAATTCAGTCTTAGTCACTGTTTTAAAACTCCAACTGTATGTTGATTATAATCGGGCTGTCTAGGATTTAGGCCGAGCCAAGTTTTAATAAAAAAGTAAAATTAATTTAGTATAATTTAATTAAAAAAATCTTGATCAACCCTTAACCCAATTAATCTAGAAAAAACTTAGTAATTTTTTTAAATAATATTATTTTTATTTTTTTATAAAATAAAAAAATTGAGCTTACCTAGATATATTTAGATTGACTCACTTACATAGTATTTGGATATGCTGTTGTGGCTGCGGCTAAAATTAAAAAGCAGTTTATACATGTTTGGTTAACACCAACCATGATTTTTTTATGTGGGTCCCAATCCAAACTGAGTTTGAACTGTAATCTTTGAAAAGCAATTGTGCATTACTTTTTATGTGTTTTCTCCTCTATCTCACCACCGACACTTTCTCAACTTTTCTAATTACTTTCTCAACAGTCACCCTCACAAAAATTATTCACAGAACGGTTATAGATGAATATTATCATTAATTTAACTCCCATTTTCTACCTTCCTCATACTGTTCTCATGCATTTATCCTCTCTCTCACAACATAAACTTTTCTATTACACAATCAATTACTTCCTAATGGTCCTCTACCCTCTTAAATTTTTTTGTTACAGTTGCAAATGAATGTTAACATTTATCTAACTCTCATTCTTTCCCAGATTGTTCCCCTCTCTCGTCTCTTAGTATAAAAATCCCGTTTCTATTTTTTACAAAAACCACCAACGAACAGGACGATGTCAGTTCGAGAGTGAGCTTCTTCCCCTCTGTCTTTTTTTCTTTCCAAATGAAAATTGAAAACCTAAACCTTCACTGATCTATCCCTCCACTGTTACCATTGCAAAAAAACCCAACAAATCCGTGCTAGGAAAGGTCTACGAGAGAGAGACCTGTAAGTATCTGCCTTATCTTCGTCAATTTTGTTTAAAATTTAACTCAAAATCTCATTTTTGTTATGGGTTTCCATTGTTTTTGTTTGCAGAACAAAGCTGCAAAATCATGCTAGTTTGGACACCTAAAAGAGAGAAACTGAGGTAAGTTCCTGCCTTATCTCTATCTTTATTTTTTTATATGAAAAATTGCATGTTTGTACTGCTACATGATCGATTTACTGTTTGTTATGCAATTGTTGAATTGAGTTATAAATTTCATTGTTGTTGCTACTTATTTTCTGTTTATTGTGCCTTCGTTAGCTGTTTTGAATTTAGTAAATTTCATTGCTTTTCATGACCCATACTGTGTGTTCTTTAATATTTTTTAGTTGAGCTAAAACCTATATTTTTGTGCTGCTTTATGGTCTATGTACTGTGTGTAATTAGTGTTGTTCTTCGTTGAAATCTGGTTTGGTTTTTGATGTTTACTAGCTGACAATGCTGCTCCTTAATTAAATTTATTTACTGTAAACAATGTGATGCTTACAAATTTCATTTATGTGTTGTTCTTCATGGTCTGATATGTTCATTATGCACATTGATGTTATTTCTGCTTGATCAACCATAAAGTTCTTTGATATGTTCTTGATGTTATTTCATTTTTATTGAATTGAGCTATAAATTTCATTGTTATTGCTACTTATTTTTTGTTTATTGTGCCTTCGTTAGTTGTTTTGAATTTAGTAAATTTCATTGCTTTTCTGTATTGCTTTTCATGACCCATACTATGTGTTCTTTAATATTTTTTACTTGAGCTAAAACCTGTAATTTGTGCTGCTTTATGGTCTGTGTACTGTGTGTAATTAATGTTGTTCTTTGTTGAAATCTGGTTTGGTTTTTGATGTCTACTAGCTGACAATGCTGCTCCTTAATTAAATTTATTTACTGTAAACAATGTGATGCTTACAAATTTCATTTATGTGTTGTTCTTCATGGTCTGATATGTTCATTATGCACATTGATGTTATTTCTGCTTGATCAACCATAAAGTTCTTTGATATGTTCTTGATGTTATTTCATTTATGTGTTTACAGTAAATCTTAAGGAGTTACCTGTTTGCATGTTGTTTAGGATTACTTTGATTTCTACTTTTAAAGTAAATCAGAATTTCAATTTTGCATTTATTTGTTTCCATGCTGTGAAAGAAAGTTGTGTTACTTTGAACATAGAAATAAATTCTTGGTTTTCCCCCCCTCTATTTTCTTAGCATCCAAATAGCATGATAACAATGATGTTTTGCTTGATAATTCAAATAATATCATGGCTAAAACTGAGTTTTCTAAATAGTTAAAAATTAATGGATTTTAATTAGTTTTCATTACAAATTACAAGTCTTTCTGGTTTACTAGGAAGTAACGAGAATATTCTCATTCAACTTAAATACATGGTCAATGTTTGTTGCTAACCACATGTTTATTGCTAACCACACAGCTTTTGTAAATGTAGAACATTGATTGTTTTTTTATTGGTTAAGTCCACGGTTATATATGTGCCACAATATAATTGATTGATTTTAAATTTTTGTTAAATATTTTAAAAGATATTATGAAAGGTCTTGAATATTTATCAATTTTGCATTTATTTGTTTCCATGCTGCGAAAGAAAGTTGTGTTACTTTGAATGTAGAAATTGTGAAAGAAAGTTGTGTTACTTTGAATATAGAAATAAATTCTTGACTTTTTGTTTTTTTCCCCCTTTGTTTTTAGCATCCAAACAGTATGATGACAATGATGTTTTGCTTGGTAATTCAAATATATTATGGTTGAAACTGAATTTTCTGAATAGTTAAAAATTAAAAGGTTTCAATTAGTTTTCATTACAAATTAACGGGAACATTCTCATTCAAATACATGCATGGTTAATGTTTGTTGCTAACCACACAACTTTTGTTAAATGCTGAACATTGAGTGTTTTATAATTCTTTGAGTCCACGATTTATATATGTGCCACAATGTAATTGATATCATTGATTGATTTCAAACTTTTGTTAAATGTGTTAAAAGATATCATGGAAGGTCTTGAATCTTTTGATAAGGCTGCTTGGACAAAGGAAATGTTGCATATATTTTGTGATATATGCATTAAAGCAATTGATATAGGGATGAGACCTAATACTCATTTTAATAAAACAGGGTGAAAATTTCTTATAACATCATTTAAAGAACAAACTGCCCATGCATTCACTAAAACATAATTAAAAAACAAATGGGATGGATGTAAAACATAATTGGAGGATATGGAATAAGCTGGTTTCTAAAACTAGTGTTGGTAGGAATAGTGATTTAGACACAATTTCAGCTAGCGATGAGTGGTGGAAACAAAAAATTTAGGTAAATTCCTCGTCATCCAAACAATTTCTTTTATTGTTGTCAAATTCCAACACCAAAGTTTTTTACTGTTGATCCCTTAATACTTCATTTTATTTATATACAGGAAATTAGAGAAGCCAAAAAATTCAAACATATCGGTATTGAACCATCTTTGAAGAATAAATTTTACAGAATATATTTCAATATTATTACAACTAAAGAGTTTGCATAGGCTCCTTCATCAGGAGTACCTGCTGGTAGAGATGTCGATCCTAGTACAAGCAATGCTAACATTGATCATGCTGGTTTGGAAGAAGGAAATAGTGATTCAGAGGAAGATGTGATTCTAGATTTTTAGACTAACATGGCTCAAATGATTGAAGGGATAAATATGTCTAGCAGTAACAAAAAAAAAGCAGTGGGAAAAGAAAAAAACGAGATCCTTATGAGGTGCGAGGTAGAAAGAAGAAAACGTCTAAAATTAATGTTAAACTGCTATCAAGGTGTAATTAACTACTTGAGAGTATGTCGATTAAGGGTGATTCCACGTCTGTTAATATGGATTGCAAAGGCTATAGTATTTGCGAGGTGATGGCTGAGCTGCACTTAATTCTTGAAGTTTTAATTGAAGATGAGTTTCACGACTTTGCTACAGAGTATCTGAGTTTAAGAAGAAAAAGAGAAATGTGGGCTAGCATGGGTGATAAGCAGTAGAAGTTGAGATGGTTGCAACGATTGTATGCGCGCACTAAATGTGCTTAGCTGACATGGTATTATTTTATGTGATTCAGAGGAAGATGTGATTCTAGATTTTTAGACTAACATGGCTCAAATGATTGAAGGGATAAATATGTCTAGCAGTAACAAAAAAAAAGCAGTGGGAAAAGAAAAAAACGAGATCCTTATGAGGTGCGAGGTAGAAAGAAGAAAACATCTAGAATTAATTTTAAACTGCTATCATGGTGCAATTAACTAGAGAGTATGTTGATTAAGAGTGATTCCACGTCTATTAATATGGATCGCAAAGGCTGTAGTATTCGCGAGGTGATGGCTGAGCTGCACTTAATTCTTGGAGTTTCAATTGAAGATGAGTTTCACGACTTTGCTACAGAGTATCTAAGTTTAAGAAGGAAAAGAGAAATGTGGGCTAGTATGGGTGATAAGCAGCAGAAGTTGAGATGGTTGCAACGAATGTATGCACGTACTAAATGTGCTTAGCTGATATGATATTATTTTATTTTCTTAACTGTTAATCAATTAACTATGTTTGCTCGCATACTATATTTGTACATGTCTATTTTATTGTTGCAGAATAATGGGATGCCAGTTTTAAAAAAAGTAGTTTCTAATTGCCAAAGTTTATCCGAGTCATTGTATTATTCCACATTTCGTGTTGAGACATATAGGGCATTTCCATTTGTAGTAATTTTTTTACTGTTACATTAATATTAAACTGCTTATTGGGAGTTAATATACTTGTATGGAAATATTGATAGTTTTTAATGTTATATTTTATCTACGAATTAAAACTGTAACTTCGGTTTTTATTAATGTTAAATGGTTGACCCTTAGATGGAACTAATTGTTAATTTACCTTCACTGTGTTGTTCCTTGAAGGTCTTGAATCTTGAGTGTTGCTATTAAAATGCTTGTTTTATTATAATATACTATGAGCAGCTACTGTGTGCTTATGAGGTGTGAATATTGGTTTATTTTCTTTCTGTCGTGAGGATTGATAGTAGCTGCTTTTGTCTAGTTGTATTCATTGTTATATAATGTTTGTTTTATTGTAATATGCCATGAAAAAAAGTAGTTTCTAATTGCCAAAGTTTATCCGAGTCATTGTATTATTCCACATTTCGTGTTGAGACATATAGGGCATTTCCATTTGTAGTAATTTTTTTACTGTTACATTAATATTAAACTGCTTATTGGGAGTTAATATACTTGTATGGAAATATTGATAGTTTTTAATGTTATATTTTATCTACGAATTAAAACTGTAACTTCGATTTTTATTAATGTTAAATGGTTGACCCTTAGATGGAACTAATTGTTAATTTACCTTCACTGTGTTGTTCCTTGAAGGTCTTGAATCTTGAGTGTTGTTGTTAAAATGCTTGTTTTATTATAATATACTATGAGCAGCTACTGTGTGCTTATGAGGTGTGAATATTGGTTTATTTTCTTTCTGCCGTGAGGATTGATGGGAGCTACTTTTGTCTAGTTGTATTCATTGTTATGTAATGCTTGTTTTATTGTAATATACTATATACAGCTACTGTGTGCTTATGAGGTGTGAATATTGGTTTGTTTTCTTGACTGTCGTGAGGATTTATGAGAGTTGCTGCCTTGTTTATCCAATTGTATTCATTATTGTTAAAATATTTGTTTTAGCTATTGTGTGCATGTGAGGTGTGAATATTGTCTTGGCTAAAAAATAAAACCGCATAAGTTAATTTTAGGTATGAATGAATGTCTGTTGTGACATGTAAATGGATGACAAATCACTACCCTGAGGGTGAGCTAGTGGATGGAATATCTATATGTGCTACTCTCACTGTGTTGTTCCTTGAAGGTCTTGAATCTTGAGTGTTGCTATTAAAATGCTTGTTTTATTATAATATACTATGAGTTGAAGTTATGGATGATTCACGGTTTAATGATATATTCAATGGGGATTTCAATGGAAATTATGATAATGTAATGAATCATATTAAGGTGTGAATATTGGTTTATTTTCTTTCTGCCGTGAGGATTGATGGGAGCTACTTTTGTCTAGTTGTATTCATTGTTATGTAATGCTTGTTTTATTGTAATATACTATATACAGCTACTGTGTGCTTATGAGGTGTGAATATTGGTTTGTTTTCTTGACTGTCGTGAGGATTTATGAGAGTTGCTGCCTTATTTATCCAATTGTATTCATTGTTGTTAAAATGTTTGTTTTAGCTATTGTGTGCATGTGAGGTGTGAATATTGTCTTGGCTAAAAAATAAAACCACATAAGTTAATTTTAGGTATGAATGAATGTCTGCTGTGACATGTAAATGGATGGCAAATCGCTACCCTGAGGGTGATCTAGAGGATGGAATATCTATATATGCTACTTTAATTGCTATTTTAGTTGTTGGATTTGTCACCTATTCAATTAGAATACATGTTCTTTTTGGTGCAACTGTTGTTGGAGTTCTTATCCCAAAATTGTGTTTATTTTATGAGGTGTGAATTGTAGTTCGGTTACTATTGTTTTGCTTTAGATGAATTCGATACATGTTGTAATTCATCCCTAGGAGTTTCACATTTTGTGAATTGTTGAAACTATCATGGTGAAAAGTAAAGAAAAAAAAATAGACCAGGGAATCTTGAATAATACAATGAGAACAATATAAATGAAAGAATACATGTCAGAATATTATCCATGTATGAGTTGTAAAATTAACATTATATGTTACTTTTATAGTCTATACATGTGATAATGTACTTATATTGAAAGATGAATAACTTGTAAAAAAGACATAAACAACATTGAATTTTTTCTATATAAAGAGGAATGTTTGTGTAATAACTTTTAATGAACTATTTTTCTTCATAATAAATTTCTCAAACCTCAACTACATCTTATACAAGCAAGTGGAACACTCTGTTTTTGTTGGCTTTACAGGTATATAAAGAATTATGTCGCACCAATTTTTGGTTCATGTTCTTTTTTTTTTGAATAATATCTAATTATTTAAATGTTTTTATTAACAACATATAAATGTTTTTTTTATTTACATGTAATTGAAGTTATGGATGATTCACGGTTTAATGATATATTCAATGGGGATTTCAATGGAAATTATGATAATGTAATGAATCATATTACAGACCACATTAATTATCCTAGTTGTGAAGGTAGTGGTGCCTCAATTGCTGGTACCGGAGATGACGGTGATGGAAACAACGCTGATGACAATAATGACGATGATGAAGATGACGATGAATTTATTCTAAGGAGGCAGTTTGATATAAAAAAAATTAATTATATGCACAGTTGGAGCTATAAACATGCATTATATTAATTATATGTATCAAGAACCATGTATGGTTTCATACAACACAAGGATGCATTGGTTGAATGAAGACATGTCAGAATATTATCCATGTATGAGTTGTAAAATTAACATTATATGTTACTTTTATAGTCTATACATGTGATAATGTACTTATATTGAAAGATGAATAACTTGTAAAAAAGACATAAACAACATTGAATTTTTTCTATATAAAGAGGAATGTTTGTGTAATAACTTTTAATGAACTATTTTTCTTCATAACAAATCTCTCAAACCTCAACTGCATTTTATACAAGCAAGTGGAACACTCTGTTTTTGTTGGCTTTACAGGTATATAAAGAATTATGTCGCACCAATTTTTGGTTCATGTTCTTTTTTATTGAATATTTGTGAATTGTTGAAACTATCATGGTGAAAAGTAAAGAAAAAAAAATAGACCAGGGAATCTTGAATAATACAATGAGAACAATATAAATGAAAGAATACATGTCAGAATATTATCCATGTATGAGTTGTAAAATTAACATTATATGTTACTTTTATAGTCTATACATGTGATAATGTACTTATATTGAAAGATGAATAACTTGTAAAAAAGACATAAACAACATTGAATTTTTTCTATATAAAGAGGAATGTTTGTGTAATAACTTTTAATGAACTATTTTTCTTCATAACAAATCTCTCAAACCTCAACTGCATTTTATACAAGCAAGTGGAACACTCTGTTTTTGTTGGCTTTACAGGTATATAAAGAATTATGTCGCACCAATTTTTGGTTCATGTTCTTTTTTTTTTGAATAATATCTAATTATTTAAATGTTTTTATTAACAACATATAAATGTTTTTTTTATTTACATGTAATTGAAGTTATGGATGATTCACGGTTTAATGATATATTCAATGGGGATTTCAATGGAAATTATGATAATGTAATGAATCATATTACAGACCACATTAATTATCCTAGTTGTGAAGGTAGTGGTGCCTCAATTGCTGGTACCGGAGATGACGGTGATGGAAACAACGCTGATGACAATAATGACGATGATGAAGATGACGATGAATTTATTCTAAGGAGGCAGTTTGATATAAAAAAAATTAATTATATGCACAGTTGGAGCTATAAACATGCATTATATTAATTATATGTATCAAGAACCATGTATGGTTTCATACAACACAAGGATGCATTGGTTGAATGAAGTTTTTAGAGGTCATTGAAAATGAAGTGTTAACATATTCAGGATGGAAACAACCACTTTGTTGAGTCTGTGCACTGAATTAGAAACATACCATAGCTTAAAACTGTTAAGAAGAATAAGCGTTATTGAAAATGTGACAATATTTCTATTTATAATAATAGTTAGGGCGTCAAATAGACAAGTGCAGGAAAAATTTTAGCATTCATATGAAACTATTAGTAGATGTTTTAAAGAAGTGCTTCAATCATTATGTTTGTTTGCTGTGAAAGTCATAAAACCAGTAGATTCACAGTTTACGAGCACACCAAAAGAAATTGCTATGAATATAAGATTTGTGCCACATTTTAAAGTAAGATGAATTTTTGTTTAATTAAGTAGTTTAGATGAGTATGAAATATGTTATATATGTTTATAGGTACTTATGTTTTTGTGGCCTGTAGAATTGTGTCGGTGCAATTGATGACACACATGTTCATGCTTGTATATCATTTGAAAATCAAATTCTATTTATTGGAATAAAATGTGTATTCACATAAAATGTTATGGCTGCTTTTAATTTTAACATGTAATTCATATTTGTGGGGGTAAGATGAGAATATAATGCATATGATAGACGTATTTTTCTTGAGGTTATTAACAATAGTAATATAAAATTTCCAAAACCTCTAGAAGGTTGTGATTTTGAATAAATTAAAGATTTGGTAATTTATAATTTGTTTTTTAGTTTTGTTAACAATTACCATGTTGTTATTTTTGCAGGAAAATACTATTTGGTTGATACTGGATATCCAAATGAGTATGAGTATTTGAGTCTTTACAAAGACGAGAGGTATCACTTCTAAAAATTTAGGCATCGTGGATAACCAAATAGTTGGAAAAAAGTGTTTAATTATGCATATTCATTACTATCTAACGTGATCGAATGTTCTTTTAGTGTATGGAAACAGAGATGGAGAATTTTACAAAACATGCCTGCTTATTCATACAAAATACAAGTTGAGATTGTAGTTGCATTAATGACACTACATAACTATATTAGAAAGAGATCACAAGATGATGTATCTTTTTTAGTATAATCACAATCCCAATTTAATTACATATGACTTTCTATCTAATATTCTTCATCACTTGGTCATTCAAGGATCACAGGGGCCTTCATGTATAAATTTTGTATGCGATAAAATTACAAATAGTATGATGGAATAATGAAGAAGTACATTAATATATAAGGATTTTTTTTTGTTATGTAATTATAATTACAAAACATGTAAGTTTTGTAATTATATATGTGTATGTATATGTCCTTTTAAGTAATTCTAAAATTAAACCTAAAATATAAAGCATATTAACCAAATATAAGAAACCTTTTTTTTTTTACTATAATTTCAATTAAAAACAAGAATTTTTTTTTTCAACCATAGTTTTAACCAAATACCGATTTTTTTTGGAAATGAACCTCACAAAAAATACTTTTTATTAAACTGTTTATTTCAAACCACAACTATAAAAATTACCATAATACCAAATACGCTCTTAATCCATGATTCAAGACTTGTCCCATATCAATTATATATATAAAGTGTTTTTTAAAATATATTAAAATATTATAGGGGTGTTTGAGACAGCAATAAAAGTTGTTTTTAAAATATTTTTTATTTAAAAATATTAAAATAATATTTTTTAATTTATTTTTAAAATCAACTCATAATAATCTAAAAATTAATTTAAAATAAAAAACAAAAAAATTATACATATAAAGTATATTTTATTTAAAAATATATTAAAATATTATCGAGATGTATGAGACAACATAAAAGTTGTTTTGTAAAATGTTTTTTTATTTAAAAATATTAAAATAATATTTTTTAATTTATTCAACTCATAATAATCTAAAAATTAATTTAAAATTAAAAAAGACGAAAAATTTATAAAACCAACCGCAGCGCCTGTAATACACGGGTTAGGTGGTCGGACGTGATGCTGCCACAGGGAATATTGTGAAACGATCTCAGAAAGATTCTTTACCTGGCTGGTTCGTGCACTTGAAAAATACCCTACCAATCTCTTAATCTGTGCTATCATGTCTTAATTAAAACACGTTTGTTTTTTTTTAATTTGAACAGTAAGGGGGCAATATTTGTCTAAAACATGATAATTTAATGACAAAATTGATAGTAAATGTTTCAATACTCCACGACTTTAATAATTCACGGACCAAAAAAATCCCATTAAATCGTTCATGTTCTATACATGAGTGCTTAACACATGGATGAATGAATGAATGAATGAAATCTGGTCCAAAATCCAAGAAAAATCATTCTAAAAAAGGAAATAAAACATCCACAAAAAATGAAAAATAGATAAAATACAAATGATATTGGAAACATAATATAATTCCTTGTCTTCTTCAGTTAGTTTTTAAGTTGCTAAAAGGAAAAGAAGATAAAAGAAACGTTGACCATTTGAAACTCGTAAGTTGTGAGAGTTGTTTGGCAACAAAAAACAGAAGAAAAAAAGGGAATGTTTTTTTTTTCTCATATGATAGACTTGTGTTGTTTTATGATCAGGTGGAAATGGCTACTGGGGCAGTGCCGGCATCGTTTTCGGGGCTACAGATGAAGGAATCAGGCTTAGGGTTTGGAAAAAGCATGGATTTTGTGAGAATTTGTGATATAAAGAGGATTAAATCCGATAGAAAAAAGATTTCAATGATTCGAAACTCCAATACTGGTCCTGATATTGTTGAGCTTCAACCAGCATCAGAAGGGAGCTCTCTATTAGGTACTAAAACAAACCATCACATGTACTGTATGATTCCTATATTTTAATCTGGGTTCTTTTTATTAGTTTGATTGCTTATAGGATCAGAAATGATGAGTTGAGGCATATATGCTCGTTTTTAATGTTATTGTTAATCGAATATGATTAGTGCTACAAGATATATATGCACAGAAAATATATAAAGACCAGATTTTTATGTATTCGGGGTGTTAGTAGATATAACCCTAAACTTTAATTGGGCGAAAATTTAATGTTTTTCTTCGCCTTCTTTTTGGGAATAATAAAGCAATCTTAGGTTCTTCATGTCGGATATGAATTTTCATCTCTGATGCTTGCTGTTTATTTGAATGCAGTCCCAAGACAAAAGTACTGTGAATCCATTAACAAGACTGTCAGGAGGAAAACACGTACTGTAATGGTGGGAAATGTCCCTCTTGGCAGCGAACATCCTATACGGATTCAAACTATGACTACAACTGACACTAAGGATGTTGCTGCGACAGTTGAACAGGTTCTTTTCAGCTCTTTCTAATTGAACCATTGGTGTTTTATTGATCTTCCAGCTTAGCAAGGGATACCAACCATGGCAACTCTTCCAATTTCGACTTCTGTTTAAAAGACTGGCTTGTGATTCTCTTCTTTTCTGGTACTTTTTTAAAAACTAATAAAGAAGATGAAGGAAAAAGTCTCTCGTAAACCCATAGTTCAGTAAACAAATAACTATAGTCATTTGTATAGACCCATCTTGAAAATGATATGATGATTGGATCTGGTATTAAACAAATCTGGTTCTCTGTTGAAAATAGTTACCAATTGATCTCTCAGTACAATTCATTTTGATGAAAGACCTCGATCTTCAAGTTGATAGAGCATGTCTGTTGGGATTGCTTTCTTTTTTCCCTGCAGTTTCACTAAATTAAGTGCTGTTAATTTGGGTAGGTGATGATAATAGCAGACAAAGGAGCAGATATAGTTAGGCTAACAGTTCAAGGGAAGAGAGAAGCTGATGCATGTTTTGAAATAAAAAACTCTCTCGTGCAGAAAAAGTGAGTTTTTTTCTTTTCCAAATACATAGAAGATCTGATAGACCATAAGGAACCTTCCATCCATGTTTTATATGTGTATTAAACTTTTCACTAACTGTTGTATACATTCAGTTACAATATTCCTCTGGTTGCGGATATTCATTTTGCTCCATCTGTTGCGTTGCGAGTATCTGAATGCTTTGACAAGATTCGTGTCAACCCAGGAAATTTTGGTAAGCCACAAGGCCCTTCTTCCATTTTTCTTTTGGTAATGAATGCAGCTATCTGAATTCACTGAGATGGTTCATTGCAGCTGATAGGCGAGCTCAGTTTGAGAAGCTGGAGTACACAGATGATGACTATCAGAAAGAACTTGAGCATATTGAGAAGGTCAGACCATTCCTTTATCAAAATGATCACCCTAAAAAGTTTTGAATAAGAAGTATGAATCTGTAGATGATCCTTGCCAAATTAACCTATTTTACCCGCTGATTTATATATCATGGCAAAATGGCCGACATGGGTCCAGGTCTAGGCATGAAGAGTATGATAAACAAGTGTTGTGTGGCAAGTATGTCAAAGTGAAGTGGTCAACAAAGTGGAAATGATATAAGTTTTGTTAGCTCTATCTGTCTCTGCTGAAAGTTCTACTTTGACCAAATCATAAACTCTAAGCTGTAAAGACAGGATTGTCAATTTTAAGCATTTGAATATAAATATGTATATGGTTACCTTTACCTGAGGTTTGGTGTTCTATTTTTTACTGTGCCAGGTTTTTACTCCATTGGTTGAGAAATGTAAGAAATATGGAAGGGCAATGCGTATTGGGACAAACCATGGCAGTCTTTCAGATCGTATAATGAGCTACTATGGAGATTCTCCTAGGGGAATGGTGAAAAATTATTTGCTCCCATAACGTTTAGCACTTTTCTTCCATCTGTTGTACTTCTAGACACAGTATCATCATACTGAATGGCTTGTATCGAACAGGTTGAATCTGCATTTGAGTTTGCTAGGATATGTCGGAAGTTAGACTTTCATAATTTTGTCTTTTCAATGAAAGCAAGCAACCCAGTTGTCATGGTCCAGGCATACCGTCTACTTGTAGCAGAAATGTATGTTCAAGGCTGGGATTATCCATTGCACTTGGGCGTCACTGAAGCTGGAGAAGGTGAAGATGGGCGGATGAAATCTGCAATTGGCATTGGGACTCTTCTTCTGGTACCCTTACAACACAAAACTACTATTTCTACAAAATGGAAGATCCTTTATAATCCTAATGATATGTTTTTCTGATAAATTTCTCAGCTTTCAAACACTCATTTGCATTTTTCTTAAAATGTATCAGTTTGTAGGTTATTTTAAGATGGAAATTTATGTTGTGAATGTGCTTGCACTTCATCAAAATTGATTTCCTTATGGTTAAATATCATATCACTAGGAAGGCATTATGTGTGGTGTGATCGCTGTAGAAGTCAGGAACTCTGTTGAATGTGCAGGATGGATTGGGTGATACAATCAGGGTTTCACTTACAGAACCACCAGAAGAGGAGATAGATCCTTGCAGAAAGTTAGCTGATCTTGGTATGAGAGCAGCCAAAATTCAGCAAGGAGTGGTAGGTTCTATGGTGCACTTTAGCAAATTAACACAATTATGCTCTGTAAATTTGTCCGTATGAAATCTTATTAGTTGACTTTTGGAGGAATCTTTTCAACCAGGCACCATTTGAGGAAAAGCACAGACATTACTTTGATTTCCAGCGCCGATCTGGTCAATTGCCACTGCAAAAGGAGGTTGTCCTTCAATTTCTATGGAAATTTTAGCATTTGTTAGCTATTTCTTTGATCGTGATTTTAGAGCTGATTATTCATGTAATTACAGGGTGAGGAGGTGGATTATAGAGGCGTCCTGCACCGTGATGGCTCTGTGCTCATGTCAGTTTCTCTAGATCAGTTGAAAGTAACCACTTAGCAGTGCTCTTACCTTATATCTCTTTTCACTATTCTCCCCAAATTTTACTTTATTAATTTGGAGGGAAGCATCTGAAGGATTTTATTGAAAATTTTCTCTTTCCAGGCACCTGAACTTCTCTACAAGTCACTTGCCGCAAAGCTTGTTGTTGGGATGCCTTTTAAGGTATGTTCTGACCTAATTCTATTGCATCGAAAGAGAAGTGTCTTGAAGATGATTTCTGAATCCATAATTGTTTTTATTGGCGCAAATATTTCTGTTTAGGATTTGGCAACAGTTGATTCAATCTTATTGAGAGAGCTCCCACCGGTGGATGACAACGATGCTGTAAGAACCCTAACTTTAGAATTAGATGAATTTACTAGACAGT